TTAATTAATGTCAAACCTAGCTTTCCTCCTTATATATATAATTACAGTTCGACTAATTTCATAATATATAATATAGTTCAAAAGACATTTGTTATTGAAATCCTGCTTTAATTAATGGTATATAATAAGCTGTTATGGGCTTCAAAATTTTATGGATCAACTAATCATCATCTGCACCCTACAACTAGACCCTAAAATAGACCACTTTAGTTATTCCCCAACTATTAATCTAAAAAATAAATAATAAATAAATAAACAATTAAATAATCCGGTCGACCCGAGCTAGATCGGACAAACTCTTTGTTGGGCCGGTCACAATCTATGAATAAGTTGAAAGATTGATTGAAACTTGTGGCCCAATATAATGGCCAGTTTTAATCTTCTTTAATGAATTGAATTGAATTTTTTTTTAATCAATAGAGTTGAATTGAATTGTTACAGGGAAAATTAGCTAATATTCTTTAGTTGGTGATGATTCAAAATGGTGGATAAATTTGATTGGAAGGTAGATGTCACACCTTGTTATTTACATCGGGAGAATTTGAATCGTAGATTTACACACAAACACACACTCACACACATCCATGTGTATGTGTGCTTAGTAAATAGTTATTTATATAAATCTACGGTTCAAAGCCAACCGTTGTAAATAACCAAGTGTAACATCTAACTCCCCTTTAGACGTTGAGATGACTCAGATTTGTCGAACTTTTTATATCTATTTTTCGTGTTTCTAGGTCATATGATTTTGGCTCTCTATCGATGTTGTATAATTATATGCTTTATAAATTGTTTTTGCTTGTTTATTTTAACAAAACTAATTATAAAATCTTAAGTTTTGGTATATACAAAAAAAAAATGACAAACATGGCTGCAAAATTGCAACAAAACTTGCTAAAATTAGTTGCAAATTCGTATTGAACTTCTATTATAATAAAAGAAAGAAAAGTGGCGGTGAACTCTAAAATCGAGTGTTTAACAAAAAAAATAGAACTAAACTTCACAAAGTAGTTCAAAATTGCGAGTGAACTTATGAAAATTGAGTATTTTAACAAAAAATGGCAGTAAACTTTCGAAAATTGCAGACGAACTTTTAAATTTGTCAGCGGACTTCTAAAATTTGCATGAAATTGGCAGTAATTACGAACAATTTTTAAAAATTTGCTGGCAACATTCTCAAATTGACATCGAACTTACATTATGAACATTGTTGGTTAACTTTTGAGATTATTTGAACAAGATATACGATACCAAACTTTCGAAAATTGGCATAATATTGATCGCGAACTTCGATGTTTGACAACACAACTTCTAAATTTTTTTCTTAAATATTGAATAATTGGTTAGTGAACTTCATTAGTAAAGTTTCAACAATAGACATTTCCTGTTTGAGAGTTCCTCCATTTATCCGAGATTTTATACTAATTAGGGATCGTTCGGTTACCGCTATAAGGTTCTACTGACTAAATAGTAGGGGCTAATAACATGTCCGGTTTGTAAGATTCACACTTTTTCAAACCCGCTATTAAATTCAAACTCCGCTATTAAATGTTACTATTTCATTAAATTAGTAGCACCCCTCTCCCTGATATTAATTTAATAGGGGGTGACTAAAAAGGAAAAATACAATTTTATCCTTAAAATTATATTTTATTATTGTAAACTAAGTGGTTTTATAGACAATTCATATGTAATAACTGATTTTAACAAATTTAATAGAAAATCTAATCTAAGAAACCGAACATTCTACTAACTAAATAATTAATTAGTCAGTAGAGAGTTAATTCAATATCATGTAATCAAATTTAACTCAATATATAGGTAACCGGACGAGCCCTTACATAATTATCCTG